ACAATATGTCTTAGAACATGGGGTTCTCCCGTCTAACTGGAAAAATGCCACTATTATCCCCATCCCTAAGCCGGGAGATCCTGGGAAATATCGACCCATTAGTCTTACCTCCTGTGTTTGCAAGATGATGGAGAGGATACTCCATCGTCGCCTTCTTCACACCATAGGCGGCTTCCACAACTCAATGGTTTCATACAAAATCGCAGCGCAGCACACTCCATCGCTTCCTTTTATTGCAATCAGACTGCCCACGTCTCCGTCTTCCTTGATATCAAGGGAGCCTTTGATACGGCTCAGCCTGCCCTCATTTTAGCTGAACTTGCGCGGTTAGGGTTAAAGGGAGACTTCTTCGATGGATCGCCTCTTACCTAACTTGACGTCGGGCCCGAGTTCGCATTGAAGGCTCTATAAGTCTATATCACCTGTTCAAAAAATGAACCTCGGCACCCCTCAAGGTGGAGTCCTGAGTCCCACCTTATTTAACACTCTCATGCACTCCATTGCATCTCTCCCGTGGCCGACAGAAGTTGTCCTCTTAGGATATGCCGACGATGTCCTCCTCCAAGCCCCCGACTACCTCAGCATGCAGGAAGCCCTTGATCTGTCCCCAGAGAGTGTGATTAACTTGGTTTCCGTCTTTCAACTGCGAAAACAAAAGCCATGTGGCACGGTGGTGTTCTACCTCCCCCCTTCTCTTATCAGGAACGCCCTTGGACTGGGTTAATGAGACAAAATACCTGGGTGTGTATATAACTCGCACACATTGTCAGATCCCTGAAGTCCGCTATCTTCGAGGTGTATGCTTTCGGCGTCTCGCTCCACCCCTCTACCATGTGCAGGGGTTCCCTCGGTGCCACCATCCCTGTACTTTTCACCATGTACAAGTCCTTTGTCCGTTCCTGTGTTGACTACGCCGCCCCTGTCCTCGTCAACATTAGTCGGACTGCTGTCAACCGTCTAGAAGTTATCCAGAGGAAAGCTGCTCGTATCATCCTTGGGGCTCCTCAGTGGACACGCTCTACTTCTCTATATACCGAACTTGGTCTTTCTCCCTTACAGGATCGTGTCCAGGAGTTTTACCTAAAAACTATCGTTTCCATTCTACGGGATCCTCGGGGCAACTATGTCCAAGCCAACTTGACTCCTGCTGTCCGAGGCCAACTTCCATCTAGAAGACAGTGGCGAGGGTCACTCATCCGAGCTCTTCAGGAACACGACCTCCTGCCTGATATTGTTGTCACCCCTGCTGTTGGTTCGTCTCCTTCTCCCTGGCTAGATTTTCAACCTGAAGTGATTGCCCTCGGTGGACCGCTCCCGAAATCCCACGTGAACCCTGATATTCTCTACAAATACCACCTCTCTAGGATCGCCCACTAGTCCCCAGGTAGGGTCGTCTTCTACACTGACGGCTCTGTCGACCCCGCTACAGGTAGGGCTGGGGCTGGTGTCTACATCTCCCGTCCTGACTCCCGAGCCTATCAAACTTGCTCTCAAAGTTTCTGACGGGGCATCCTCCACTCAGTCTGAACTGATCGCCCTCCTTGCTGCCCTTCTCGCTGAGGAAGAAGCCGATGGTTTCTGCCCCTTGCTTGTCAGCTGCGATTCCTTGTCTGCTCTCAACGGGACCGCATTTGGATCAGGGGAAAATGAGGACCTCATCCTCCGAATACAAGGGTTAACATCCACACTTCAGGATGCAGACCGTCCTGTGACATTCCTACGGATACCCAGTCATGTCGGTACCTTGGGGAATGAGGCAGCAGATGGCCTTGCCAAGACTGGCTGTAACAAGGCCACACATGACTACGTTATTCCTCGAATACTTTTACAGCTAAGGACCCATCTTAGATGCAAACAGAGAATAGCTCAGGAAGCAGCCATGATCCTGGACTCCCTGCCCACCTGGTACGATGTCCTCCGTAAACTTCCTGACCTCTCTTATGTCTACGGGAAAGGGTACCGGAAAAGGGACGTGATTGCTGCCCGTATCATCATTGGGTATGACTTTGCTTGGGAGATTGGTATCCCCGCATCACCTGAGCAATGCTCTTGTGCATTGCACAGAAAACCCGACAGCCGCACCCTTATCCACTACCTCCTAAGATGTCCCCACACACAACGCCTCCGTGACGCCTGCTGGACCACCACTCCACGACCCCCTGACGGAGACACGATGCTCCTCCCCATACTGGCCAGATATTATGTAAATAATATTGATGATGTGTTAAAGGAATATCCTTCCTTCCTTAGGCTTTAGTAAGCACCTTTATAATATTTATATATACTCGTGACACTTGCCAGATGCTTCTGGTGTTATTGTACAGGGGTACCTAGTGACAGCACTAGGATCCCGCTTCCTCTATCAAGGAATATATAATTAAATTGAAATTGAGTTGATACCCAGTTCCCCTATCATCGGATCGCCCCCCCCCCTCCACATGGCATGTAGTGAGGGCATACCTAACCACTTGGAGATCTTAAAATGGCTGCTGGAGAGAGGCGCAAACCCCAATCTGGTTATTGTAGGGGTGAACAATGCTTCCATCAAGCCAGCCCTTGGGGAGTACCTCTCCTCCAATGAAACTCCTGACATAGAGGTTGTCAATCTCTTCCTGAGGTAAGATAGTGTTGGTGGAGGTGCTGAGGTAAGATAGTGTTGGAGGTGCTGAGGTAAGATAGTGTTGGTGGAGGTGCTGAGGTAAGATAGTGTTGGTGAAGGTGCTGAGGTAAGATAGTGTTGTTGAAGGTGCTGAGGTAAGATAGTGTTGGTGAAGGTGCTGAGGTAAGATAGTGTTGGTGGAGGTGCTGAGCTAAGATAGTGTTGGTGGAGGTGCTGAGGTAAGATAGTGTTGGTTAAGGTGCTGAGGTAAGATAGTGTTGGTGGAGGTGCTGAGGTAAGATAGTGTTGGTGAAGGTGCTGAGGTAAGATAGTGTTGTTGAAGGTGCTGAGGTAAGTGTGTTGAAATTTTTGGGAAATTTGATCAGAGAAAACAGGATTTTTTATTAAATTGGGAAATTTTATCAGGATTTTTTTTAATACTCATACAGTACCGAGACCTTACTGTATTTATTATAAACCTGTATTAATATAATAAAATAATCTATACAATATACGAGTTTAACTTTTTTTATTAATAAAAGTTAATGAATTACCCTTTTTGGGTGAAAAAACTTCATAAGGAATGCATCTCCATTTAAATAATAGAAGTCACTGGGAAAATGGGGTCCACTTTATGGTCAACTTTTCAAGGACACGTCCCTTCAGTAACCCAGGGCATTACCTTATTGATTAATTATCAAAAATATAATGAATGATACAGCATATAAATTCCTATACCTGTATACATGATAAAGTACATATTACTTCATTAGCTATACACTACTCTTTAACAATAATTAAAGTTGTCTTAAAAACCAGTTATGGTAATGGTTTACACTGAGGGTACTGACAGAGGTAAATTTTTTAAATTTTATTAATAATCTTATATAAATCTGTTTTAGCACATCTAAAACTGGTTGAAGTTTGGCTATCTTAACAAAGAATAGAGTGTTTGTTGTATAAACAGACAGCAGTAAGGCATTGTCTACACGTCTTGAAATCTTCAGTCTAGTTCTTGCACTTTCATTCATCAATATGTTTTGGGTTATTCAACTTTCATAATTTTGACATCTGTGGCTCAAATGGTCAAACTGTAACTGCACTTATTAAAATCCTTTTTTCAACATCCCATTATTTATCAGTTTCATTTGAAATAACATCAACAATGAATAATCTGATGGGCTAAAAAACTTCGATCTTAGTGGTATTTCAGTCTCATTTCCTACACACTTACAGGAAGGGAGAGACTGCCTGAAATGACACCAAGTCAAAATTGCTCTTGTAATTGTATTTTCAGATAACAAAGAGATGCAGATTTACAATGGCACAATGGTATACTTTCATATGGAATGAAATATTGAAATGTGTGGTAGTGTCATCCATCAGGATTGCTGGTGAACACAAGAACAGAACATGAATAATTATTAAGAAAGTAGATACTATTGATTGGTTCTAATTCATTAGTGTTTTAGGTCATATTTTCTTACCTCCACAAATTATAAAACAATTAATGGCAGCCAAATAAATATTCTGAAGATACACTGAATCCTGAAAATCCAAACGTCCAATCTTACCATCTTTTTAATTACTGACTGTTCTTATGGCATCTATCCATCTCTTTCTTTTTCCCTACTGTTTGAAGAAAATTACTGAACTATAAATGCACTGATGTAAAACTAATTTTATGCTTCATTACTGAACATATTTCATATTTGGTAATAAATTACTGATTAAAAATTCAAAATTATTTTTCGAGTTTGCTATGTAATATAGCATTACAATATGAATGCCATACTTACCTGACAATTTGAGCAATCTTGTAGATAGTTGACATCAACCTTATAATGCTTACAATGCTCAGAGCTCACAATTTTTGTACACTATGACCATAGCCATTATAAGTGAAATAATGAATACATCATAGGTTGTGTTGAACGACATCTTCTGCATGTTACATAATTAAAAATTCATTTGTTAAAAATATTATTAAGCCAATTATATTGAAATGGATAATTATTATTCACAATAACAATTCAATCTATGACAGCTGAGTGGTGGTAGCGGATTCTTTAGGAATTTCTTTTACTGTGTTTCTCTTTAAGAGAAATGTGTTTCAAAAAATGGTCACAACTGATTTGACATTTCCAATCTCCTTAGTCCTGTTTTCAACACACTGATGTGACTTGGCAGCTGAATACACCTTGAGGGAGACATAAGCCTTGATTATCTAAGATCATCATCAATACTTTTGCATCAGACATCTTTGGCTGGAGAGGTAATGTATCTATTGGTTTGTTATTTTTTCAATTGGCTTTTCAGTATCACTCTTGATATGCAGATTCCTTAATGTGCTTTTTTCCCCTAGTAATCCCCATAATCACTTTCGTAAACAAAGCAACGGTCATTCATCACACACACATGCCGATACTGTCTCACAAACTAGAGTACATTCATGAGGAAATTGTTTAACAATATCCTTAAAATCTGTCTACTTTGCCTGAGGAAAGTTTTCCGGAGTCCACAGCTCAGTTAAGGGGAAATTAACACTGGAGACAACAAATGAGTCTCTCAACGAAGAAATTAATGCATCGCCTCTCACTTGACGCATTGTAAAAAGAAAACAAAATTAAAAGAAAATTAAGGCTACCACTATATCACATCACAGATGAAGAGTGCTGGGTTTTGTTCCCGGAGGCTTTAGTCCCGTAATGACCTTAGCTCTTACCACAGTGACTTAGCCAGTACCAGTGACTTAAGCCAGTACCAGTGACTCTGTCAGTACCAGTGACATGGCCAGTACCACAGTGACTCAGCCAATGTCAGTGCCTTAGCCAGTATCACAGTGACTTGGTCAGTACCAGTGACATGGCCAGTAACACAGTGACTTAGTATATACCAGTGACTTAGCTAGTACCACAGTGACTTAACCAGTACCACAATGACTCAGTCAGTACCAATGACATGGCCAGTCCCACAGTAATTTGGCCAGTGCTAGAAACTTAGCCAGTACCACAGTGACATGGCCAGTACCATAATGCTTCAGCCAGGACAACAGTGACTTGACCAGCACCAGCAATTTAGCCAGTAATATAGTGACTTACTAGTACAAAAAGTCACTGAGTCAGTATCAAAGTGTTTTGGCCAATGCCACAATGACTTGGCAGTGCACAGTAACTTAAGTCAGTACCACAGTGACTTAGCCGATGACTGAGCCAATATCACAGTGACTTAGCCAGTCCTGCATCAACTTTGCTGGTCCTGTTAGGACTTTAATCAGTCCTATACTGATTTCAGCTAAAACCATGGTGGCCATGGCTAGTCGCTGTCTGACCCAACCTGGTTATTTTTTTTCCGCTTTCTGGATGGCTTCTTCACATCTTCTTCCTAAAAGTAGAATAAAAAGAAAAGTATTAACACATAATAATTCAATCTTCTATTAGTTACACCAATTTAAACTTGCTATCTTTAAAAGCTACAAGGAGTTTAATTATACTTATATTTTCAGGAAACAGAAAAGATGTATTCTGAAAAAAAAGGAGTGGCATGACCATTCTTACATTGTGTTTAAAATCATTTGAACATTTCTGTTTCCACAATGGCTTTCACTATGCCCACATTATCTGTGGAACCAGTGTACAGTACTCAAGTATTATATAAAACACCTGTTCCAAAATCTGATCAATAACCTAGACTTTTGATGTTTAGAACAGAAATTGTGATATGTGATTTCCAGGTAACAAGACGACTCTCAAACTCAGAAATATCCCACCTCTCCAGAATATTTCCGGGTATACAGTACAGTATATTACGAAAAAGTTCCGAGTCTAAACTACACTTCTTGCACAGAAAGACACTAGCCACATCCCCAGAGACATTCTGGGTGCTGGGGAAAGTTTTCCGAGTTTAGGAGAGTCTAAACTGCGCATCTCATCTTGCAGCAAACAAACACTCTCCCATTACATTTAGACCGAGAGCACGAGCTAAAATATTTACGGTTAGCAAAAAAGTGAATAAAATTTTATTCACATCATCCACACATCCATCACATCATTTGTCTAATAGAGATGAATTTTATACCAATAAACGATCCTTATACAAAATATTTTGACACGATATAATGATGGGGACTCGACTCTTTTATGAAAACCGTAAGAAATGTTGATACCAGAGTAAAAAAATCAGTTGTAATTAGTTAGATATAATATTTTTTACCCAAATAATCCTTAATAGTTTATCTAAAAGTTTGGTTAAAAAAAAAAAAAAATTCTATATGATCAGGCGTACAAGGTGTGAATGGAGCTGTCACGGCGATAACAATGGAATTTTCAACTCTGCACTGGGGAAAATTTTCCAGTCTAAATGAGGTACCTCGCACTGAGCTTCATTTATTTACACAAACACCACTGTACACCTACAATATATTGTAAATACTGTCAACAAAATAATGTATACTTCTACTGTACTATACTGTCCACTCTGCTGAATGTGATACATAACTGTAATTACTTTTTACCATCTTAACACTTGAAAAGGAGGTGGGTAGATGATTAGTGGGTCATGTTACTGACCTGACCTGATGCAATGTCAGGTCACCAATTGTATATATACGCTTCTCTCATTTGCAGCGGAGGTGAGGTCAGGGATTAGTGATTTCATATTACAGTACTGACTTTCTGATGCAATGTCAGGTCACCCATTGTCAGGGTTTGAAGTTTTGGAGGTGGTGAGTGGTGGTGGTGGTAAGTGTTAGTGGTGGTGAGTGTTGGTGGTGGTGAGTGTTGGTGGTGGTGAGTGTTGGTGGTGGTGAGTGTTGGTGGTGGTGAGTGTTGGTGGTGGTGAGTGGTGGTGGTGGTGAGTGGTTAGTGGTGGTGAGTGTGGTGGTGAGTGTTGGTGGTGGTGGGAGTGTTGGTGGTGGGGAGTGTTGGTGGTGGTAAGTGTTAGTGGTGGTGAGTGTTAATGGTGGTGAGTGTTGGTGGTAAGAGTTGGTGGTGGTGGTGAGTGTTGGTGGTAAGTGGTGGTGAGTGTTGGTGGTGGTGAGGTGGTGGTGGTGGTGGTGGTGGTGGTGGTGTGGTGGTGGTGGTGGTGGTGTTGGTGGTGGTGAGTGTTGGTGGTGGTGGTGAGTGTTGGTGGTGGTGGTGGTGGTGGTGGTGGTGGTGGTGGTGGTGGTGGTGAGTGGTGGTGAGTGTTGGTGGTGGTGAGTGTTGGTGGTGGTGAGTGTTGGTGGTAAGTGTTGGTGGTGGTTGGTGGTGGTGGTGTGGTGGTGGAGTGGTGTTGGTGGTGGTGGTGTGAGTGTTGGTGGTGTTGGTGGTGGTGGTGAGTGTGGTGGTGGTGAGTGTTGGTGGTGTGGTGGTGGTGAGTGTTGGTGGTAAGTGGTGGTGGTGAGTGGTGGTGGTGGTGAGGTTGGTGGTGGTGGTGGTGTTGGTGGTGGTGAGTGTGGTGGTGGTGGTGTTGGTGGTGGTGGTGGTGGTGGTGGTGTTGGTGGTGGTGGTGTTGGGGTGGTGGTGAGTGGTGGTGGTGGGTGGTGGTGTGAGTGTTGGTGGTGGTGGTGGGAGGTTGGTGGTGGTGGTGAGTGTTGGTGGTGGTGAGTGTTGGTGGTGGTGGAGTGTTGGTGGTGGTGGTGAGTGTTGGTGGTGGTGGGAGTGTTAGTGGTGGTGAGTGTTAGTGGTGAGTGTTGGTGGTGGTGGAGGTTGGTTGGTGGTGGTGGTGTGGTGGTGGTGGTGAGTGTTGGTGGTGGTGAGTGTTGGTGGTGAGTGTTGGTGGTGGTGAGTGGTGGTGGTGAGTGTTGGTGGTGTGGTGGTGATGGTGGTGTTAGTGGTGGTGAGTGTTAGTGGTGGTGAGTGTGGTGGTGGTGAGTGTTGGTGGTGGTGGTGAGTGGTGGTGGTGGTGGTGGTGGTTGGTGGTGGTGGTGGGTGGTGGTGAGTGTTGGTGGGTGTTGGTGTGGTGGTGGAGTGTTGGTGGTGGTGAGTGTTAGTGGTGGTGAGTGTTAGTGGTGGTGAGTGTGGTGGTGGTGGGTGTGGTGGTGGTGAGTGTTAGTGGTGGTGAGTGGTGGTGGTGGAGTGGTGGTGGTGGTTGGTGGTGGTAGTGGTGGTGGTGGAGTGTTGGTGGTGGGTGGTGTTGGTGGTGGTGTTAGTGGTGGTGAGTGTTAGTGGTGGTGAGGTTGTGGTGGTTAGTGGTGGTGAGTGTTAGTGGTGGTGAGTGTTAGGTGGTGGTGGTGAGTGGTGGTGAGTGTTAGTGGTGTGTGAGTGTTAGTGGTGGTGAGTGGTGGTGGTGAGTGCTAGTGGTGGTGGTGGTAAGTATTGGTGAGTGTTGGTGGTAAGTATTGGTGAGTGTTGGTAAGTGTTGGTAAGTGGTGGTGATGAGTGTTGGTGGTAAGTGGTTGTGGTGAGTGTTGGTGGTTGTGGTGAGTGTTGGTGGTGGTGATGAGTGTTGGTGGTGGTGGTAAGTGTTACTGGTGGTGGTAAGTGTTGGTGATGAGTGTTGGTGGTGGTGATGAGTGTTGGTGGTGGTGATGAGTGTTGTTGGTGGTGATGGTGAATGTTGGTGGTGGTAGTGACTGGTGATGGTGAATGTTGGTGGTAAAAAGTGACCCAAGTGGTCACTTTGGACTATGTTGGTAAATAACAGACCGAGTCCCTTATAATTCTGGACCCGGATATAATGGACTGTCCTTACCCCCAATTAGCCCATTACACCGGGGCGTACTGTATATACAACTGATTTGGAATATACTCTTTCACATTATATTAAATATCTGATTCCTTTAATTTAATAAAAATTCTCGTCCAGTTCTTACTCACCTCACTACTCTCTTCTTCACTTTCTGATTCCTGTTTTTTCCGACCCTTTGGTTTTCTGCCTCGATTGGACTTGGTTTTTCTTTGAGGTTCAGGTGCTGGTTCTTCTTCCTCTTCTTCCTCAATGAGGGCAAAGAGGTCACAATATTTTTTCTTCTGAGTTTCACTGCACTGATTTTGAGCAGTTTGTAGAGCGTCTTGCATTGTTTCTAATGCAAAAAATGTTATTTGACCACAAGCTGTCCTCAAGTGGTTAAGGTGTGACAACACTTGGTCCAATGGCACTGCACTGGTTTTTGTAGTTGTGTTCCGTTTACGTTTATTTGGTGATGGCTGTGGTTTGTTGTTGACTACGTCGTTGATGAGCTTGGCCATCTTATCCTCATATCGCTGCACCCAATACTGCAAGATGGTGGCTACCGTTGGATCCTCCACTCTAAACTCTCGTAGAAGCAACGTTCTCAGAAGAATTTCGGATGGGCTGGAGAGATAAAACTGTTATGGCAATATCTTTCTCACTTCCAGAAAATTTTCAAATTCTATGAAACAATACAACCTAATTTTTCACTATGGTTCTTATCCTCTACCAACCTTAATGCTCTTATTTTTCCCTCTCACGGTGACCTGCATCTGTTAATTTTGAGTTGCTGTGTTATATTTCATGAGAATACTCTACCTAAAAGACATGAACAGTAAGAGCCATGGAATAAACCCATGGCAGTACCTAAGCCTTAGCTATCAAAAAAAAACTTCAGCGATTCATGTTCTACTTCTATATTTATAAGAATTTAAGATATGAATTGTACTACTGCTGACATCTTACACTACATCAATTTCTACAAGCAGAATAAAATTAAAGTACAATGTAGATATCAAACATAAAGCAATGATTTTTGTATTCTCTAAAATATTAATTACCAAACTGACATTCCACTTACGATTCTCTCCGGAGCATCATTAGGATGTTGGAAAGAGCCTCTCCATGAGTGTTGGTTACAGTGGCAGAATGTGAGGTAAACTTGAGCTTGGGCATCACAGACAAACAACAATCCACAGGAATCTCATGGGCTTTTGCAAGTTGCCAAAGAAATAGCTGTTCTACTGTCTCCCATTGCAAGCTCTTTTCTGAAAAATCACATTACAATCTTCATTCCTTTAATCATTAAAATGAATAGTGTCTGTGATAAAGCTATCTAAGTTACAAACAAAAACGGTGATGCACACAAGATACAAAAGTAGTCTCCAACATAATTCCTCACATATATCATATTATTCTGGTTGAAGTCTGATTGATATTGGTAAAGTTATGGCATTAAAAAAGACTATGTCATAGACAAATGAATGGACATCATGGCTATCTAATATACAACTATGAGAGTGAAGGGATAAAATTATATATATTTCCTGTTCATTAGTATGAAAACACAACACCACAAAATTCACAAATCAATGCTAACATGCCTCCTAACAACATATAATATACCCCAATGTACTGCAGCTATGAAAAAAGAAACATAGTTTGGTACTGCACAGCAAATTAATTAGGTAGTATTTTTATACTGGAGAGATGCTCAAAATATCATGGTCTGTGGCAAGCTGGCGAGGCCAGCACAGTCATTTACTAAGTTTTTCATGAGTCAGCCTTAACTAACTGAGGATGTTAGGCTGAGTGCTCAGCATTGCACAACCCCTCCTCTACACCAAGACACTAATGACAGTTTCAATTAAAAAAGAATGGAAATAGTGGATACACCTGATGAATTAGTGCTTAGTGGTACAGTACAGATGAGGGTTGGGGATAACATCAGTTTCACACCAATGTGCAAGACCCCAGCCAACTCCAAGTGGGAGCTAGAACTGTCACATGCACCATGTGGAACTAAACTGCCACCAACACCATGTGGGACTAAACTGCATCCAACACCATGTGGGACTAGGGTCGTCAACAACACATGACGGGTGTGAAGTTAGTGTGAATCAGGTACAGCCAAGGATTGCTATTAAAGTCACACATCATTATTTTAATGATCCCAACTGCACCCTTGAGTGCTATGAAGCAAGACAATTGATCCCTGAACAACAGTGCTGTAGCACTACTAAAATCTACCTATCAAGAGGCACTCAGTACAATGGCCCTCTCAACTCCCTCTGATCAAGGCTCCCAGCTATCAGTACGAGAAAGTGATGTTGCACCATTCTCACTAACATATCCTCTTCCATGTGCAGCTGTCTGACACCATAGCTGAAGGTATCAGGGCTACAAAACTTGCCCCTTCCCAACCACTGTGAAAATAACAAGAGCCTAGTTAACTTATATGATCACCTATGTTCCCTCCCTTTTTGCACTAAAAGCTCTTATTAAAAAAATCTATTCCCCAATTTCACCTTATGTAATTTATATTATTTCTGATCACTGTGTATTTTCAGCCTTTGGCTCTCAATAGAATACAGGGGGTCCCCGGGTTACAAATGGGTTCCGTTCGTGAGGAAGTTCTTAAGTCGGATTAATACGTAAGTAGGAACACATGCTATATGCATACTGCACTTACAAAACAATGTTCAAAATCCCACTATATCATAGTCTAAGTCCTTATATACATCTAAAATAATTTAAGACAAAAGAAGAAATAGAATGACAAGATACAGAAAAATAAATGTAAGCAAAAAATAAGTGATCAGGTAAATAAAATACTGTTAATTCCAAGTTTAACCCCATTTGTATCGGCGAATGTTCGTAAGTCGGGGTTCCTCCTGTATTAATTATTATTACAATGACACACACACATATGCTATGCAGCATTCATCTCTTGGAACCATATATCTATGAGCTAGTCTCATATGGGATGATGGAAAAAGCACACCCAGTTGACATGTAGAGATTTGCAATGTTCAGCCTAATTCCAACAATGTTTGAGTATCAGGAAAATTTCAAACTTTATGATTTTGTTTATATAATTTTAAATCTAAATTAGAGGTTTTGCTGTAATATGAGTTTCACAGAGTCAAAAAGACTGAAAACTTACCCAATATCGCTGCGAAGGAGCTGTTGTCAAACATTTGCAAAGACCCCTGGAGTACCATGCAAACCAAATCATGTAGTTGGGATGAATCTAATCGTTCTAACACCAATTGTAATAGTTCTGCATTACCCCTTGTCTGTTTGGGAAAACTGTTGTATATATCGGGAATAATCCAACTTAACACTCGAGGGTCATCTTCACTACACAGCCGCAAATCCTTAATGATAAAACCAGAAAAATCCTTCTGTCCTGCAGCCTTGCACAAGTCACGGTAGGTAAGGATGGAGCACTCATTATTTTCTTGAACTTTCTCTGTCTTAATGTTAGAAGCCTTGAGAAAATATAAAAAGTGGTAGCCCACATGAAGGGTGATCTTGTGCATCTCCACTAAAAGTAGTAGCAGAGGTTGTCTCCGGCGATCGTCCTCCGGTAGGGTGATGAGGTTGTCAAAGAGGACGTACAGAGGACGCCCTAAGCTCTCTTGAATACTCCTGTAATGTTTGCAAATACTATTATATGTACTTTTAATGCAAAGCCCTGCCTTAAGCCTGAGAAAATCATATACCCTTCTGGTATATCTGGTATATCAGTATTGACAAATAAATTACTGTAATGATAAATAAACCTGCACAAAAATTATCTACACCATTTTTTATAGCTTACTTCAAGATTAATGACATTTCAATGTTAGCTCACAAAACACTGCTTAACTTACTGTTATGATATACAGTAAAGTATTAAGAAAAGTTCTGTACACAAACCTACACAATTCATTTACATCACACACTTCAAAAACAAGTAAATTGGTAAGAAAAAAATGTAAATAGGGAATTTTAAAGGGTTATTTTAAAGGTGAAATATGACTGTCCACTGGTAGATCAGTTACATAGACTTAAGTCCTAATTGGCTGCAATACTAGCAACAAGTTAAATAAATTTCAATTTCAGTTAATTCAATGGAATTTTTCAATTCATATTGACCTCAAGCAGACACACCTCTATAGATGGTCAAAGATATTAAAACATACAGTACATAAAAACATGACCTGGTCATTTCTATACTCAAAACTAGCAATGCAAAAAGTCAAATTAGTAAGGCAATACGTTATCTAAATTTGAATGGTAAATGACCTCCAGTCTTTCCTAAATTCTAAATACAGGTACTCCTTACGACCTACTCGACTTACAACAACCCGGACATACGACCGCCGTAGCTGTATAAAATATTTTTCAAATTACGTATTTTCTAGTACCAAAACGTTTCCGTCCCATACGACAGCGTAGGCTGGGCTGCCTCGTGATGTAAAGCATCCACGCAGTAGCCCGCTCAGTTGGTGTTTGGCCGTCGTTGTTGTTAGTGATCGCACTGTGTACTGACAAAATTTTTGTTTCTAATTCCCTTTAAAATGGCTGGCAAGCATAAAAGTGAGAGTTCTCGTGGTGCTGATAAGAAAAGGAGACAGTTAACTACTTTTGAGATGAAAATTAAAATAATAATGCATACTATTTACAAAATTTTCTACTAATAAAATCATTTTATCTATAAATACAAAGATTATCAACATTTTTAGATACAACTACTTTATTGTTAGGGAGTTAATTAGCACTTCTAACAAACTTCATAACAATTTTCAATTTTGTCGGGGTTTCTTTTAAAGCTGCATGAAATGGTGTTTTACCTTCATAATTTTTTAGCTTGATTTGGGCGTGGGACAGATGTTTTTTGGTAATAAATAACTGATATAATTTGTTTAATTATTTATGCTTATAATCATATTTATATTGTTAATTTTAACGTTGATAACAAATTTCTTTAATTTTAGTACGTTTATTTAATCGTCAAAAATTAATAAAATACTATTTGGACACTCATGGAAGTTTGATTCTTGCTTGATACTTTTACGTTATAGCTGGTAAATACATGTAAATAATTGTGGGGAACAAAAAATAAGTAAATTTATATGAAAATGGAAAAATGGTAGCAAACATTTCACGCAACCTTGGCTTCTTGCACTCGATGATATCAACAATTTTGAAGGACAAGGCAGAGGCATTTGCTACTATTAATAAGGGGATGCAAATGTTTGAAGAAATAGATCAAAATGTTGAGCGTTTTGCAAAAGTTGACAGACAGATCCAAGATGCACTTGTTTCCTACAGGGAGATTTACAATGAAAAGAAAAGGCAAACTGTGCAGTCTAAATTGGACATATATTTTAAGAAGTCCCCCACTGTTAGCCTGCCTGAAGAAAGCAAAATTGAAGACTCACCCAGCCCTGTCTCCTCCTCTGCTTCATCCAATTAATGTAGTCTCCATGTTTAATTAAAAAATTATTGAGGCCCCGTGTGCATTCAGCTGACTACATTAAAGTTAAGTGCACAGTAACACTTTATTAATTTTTCATTATTGATTACTTTTACTGTACAGTATTTCATTTTAGAATTTCTATGTATTATTTTTGCATTTTCGACTTATGACCAATTCGACTTGCGACCTGGTCGTCGGTTCGGAACCCCGTCATAAGTCGAGGAGAGACTGTACTTCTGTTCAATTCCTATTTCTAAGATTCTTTAACAAGTTCTTCCCACTAGGTACAAGATGGTAAGAAATGATCAGCATACTTGTACTGTACAAACTCCCGTTCAAGATGCATCTTAATTGATGAAATTCCCATTATTTACCGAAAAACGTATCAAATAGAAACAATGTCTTTGTATTCTGTTGATCACAGCATAGGCTGCTAGATTTCATTCTTGATCTGATAAAGGTAACAAACTGGCATGGAAAAACCTGCAGTTGTTTAATGTCTTGTAAAAATTATCTTAGACATTTGAGAATTGAATTTTAACACCTGATCACATTTCCTCGTTGAACTAAAATGATAATGCTGTACTCTCCTATTAAAAACATAAAACACAAAGGTTTAATTTTGCATACTGTATGTTTAAGTTATAGATATGAGGAGCAAGGATGTGTAGAGGTTTATTATTCATCTTCTAAATCATATCCTGTTGCTTTCTATTTTTATTTTTTTTAATAACTTCTCTCTTAACGTTTCACCCTTTTCCTTCAGGCTTGTTTCGCTTCATCCATCCCACACAATAATGGGAGATGACTGGGGGTAGAAGACAGATAAACAGAACTTACTCGGCAGAAATATCCTGAGGCAGAAGAGAGGTACCCGGTGTTAAGTCATCAGCCAAAAGGTGACAGAGGCAAGTTGCCAAGTTGAGTGCCTCCTCCTGATGTAGGTCATCACTAAATATCAAATCACATAACTTTTGTAGGAAGTCACATCTGAAACAAGAATAAAAAATAAATAATTAAAAATTAATTGAACAGACAGGCTTGTTTGTCACTACAGGTACTGTAGTAAATTTTACCACCATAGTGAATCCATGATTTCTGCTGGTTCCAAGTTCACAGTCATGAAATATATACTGTATACAGTATTGAACTTCCATTTCTGCTTTGCTATTCTGTGGATGGTGCCAGGAGTTAAGGGCAAGGAAAATGTATTACTGTACAGCATAGTAATTTAGAATTTCCCTCCCGAAAATTACTGTTCCCCAAACATTATCAGAAAAAACCCTAAATTATTGTACAAAAATGAGAAAGCAATAAATCTAATGAGAACCAGATTCCAAGTAAAGCATCAGTACCTCCTTTGTGTGTGTGTGTGTGTGTGTGTGTGTGTGTGTGTGTGTACAGGGTATGTTCATCTTTTATTTCCCAACATAAGTAAGACTTGCTACAATGTTTTCTTAACAAATTAAAACACCTTGTACATCTATTTCAGGGACAAAGAGAGAATAAAGTGCCTACATTTTTTAAGAAAATTTTTATTTTCTACTGAAGGTGGGCAGCGTGGCTCAGTCCAACACAGCTGATGAAAGGCTCTTTAATGGGGCATGTGTAAAAGTGAGGGATTCCCTCCACCTCTCAGGTTACAAGTAATTTCTGGCTTCACTACTTCCCATGCCACTATAATGATACCAAAGCAATAATTAAGGAAATTTAAGAGAAAATATTATGAGAGCTTTTGAGAGCAACAAAATTTTAAATAAAAGACATTCAGATTTACAAATTTTCAAAAAAAGAGAAAATATTATCCTGTACAAAATCTTCAGTTATGATTTTTCTTGTACTGCATCATTTGAAACTACTGCAATACTGACACAGGCATCTGAGAGTGTCCTGTACTGATTCTGGTCAATACTGTATACTGTACAATGTATTCTAAACCCTTCATGTGTGACGCTACAATCCTGAAAAGTTTGACCTGTATATTTAGAACATCCACACTTACACAAATATCATAACAAAATTCAAGCAACATGTGAGAACTTTCTACATATGACAGTCAGTTGTTGCACAGCTTTGAGACAGTGAACATGCACACACCTCTCAATAAATAAATCATTACCTCGACTTACATAATTATACGAGTATGTGCACTTTTATCTTTATTAAATGCTTATCGTTTTAATTTCATAAGAGTGGTAAAAATGGGTGTAGATGATCATGGTGGCTAGCTGTTGTGGGCGGTCAGCTGAGGAATGACTCTAAATAACATGGAGAGAGTTTGTAAGAAATGAGCTCATAGTTAAGAACCTGATGAGAGTGGCTGCAAGAGACCACACAGCACACACAGCTGTGTGGAAATTGGCTGTCAAATAACAATGATATATTTCATGTCCTTAAACGAGGATATTTTTCCGCGGAATCGCATCTCTCATTATTTAATGGAAGTCAATGGGAAAATATGCCTTTATTTACATTTTTTATTTACAAATGGTTTTTCAGAACACAGCTCTTTCAGAATCTGCAGTGTGCCTGTATTGCTAACATGACTGATTAATAATCCAAACACAGCCTGTTGGCAATAATTCCAGAGTTCTGGGCCTATCTATTTGATCTAAGTTCAATATATTGTACACATAGTCCAGACATTCAATATCCTTAATATAAAGGGGTAGTTAGGCTTTTTAGCTGTTAAATTAAGTGGCTCAAAAGACAGAAAACCAGGGCCTAAAAAAAAAAACAAATTTCCCAATAAATTATTCACATTAATTTCCGTGGGATCAATATCCACACATTTCTGAAATGTAAAGGATGCATAAAGAATCCAATTAACAAAAGATTTCTCTCAAAATTGGTATGTAAACCAATGCTCTAATCTAAATATAATTGAAACCCATTCAAGTGCAAAATTAATTATCACATCCTCAGACAATTCATATTACTGTGTAATAAATCCATAAATTTTACAATGCACAATAAATTCAAAGTAAACACACTACAAAAAGACATCAAAGAAACACGATTTTCAGTGAACAGTTCAACATATTCATACTAAAAGGAGCGGAAGCATTATTCCCTTATTTCTAAAAAATTCCTGTTAAACTGAATAATAAATATAAACCACATATTATATCAATGTACAGTATGCATAATAACTATGAGCATTTTGATTATAAACACATTACTGTATTGAGATAAGAGGCTTCTGAGTCAGTGAGTGCATTTTCTAATACACAGGCAAGGCTTACGTCTCCTGGTGACAAACAGGCTGTAGCTGTTAATGGTATTATGGTCCCACAAACAAAATAATACGAATTTATGGGTGGGAAACTCTGAGTTACAACTAGGTTAGGGGTGTAATTAAGACCAATTGAAAAATAACTTCATTAATCACCCTTTAAGTTATACAAGCAAGCTAAAAGGCAAACTTAATTATGAAAATTGAACTTCAGCAAACCAAATGCCCATAAACAATTATGGGGACATATAACATGTTTATCTGCTTTCCATCCAGGCCTGGACATCCAACAAGCCCCTTAAACCAGCTTATTATTTTCCTGAGTCCATAAGTCAGTCCATCCCAGGGTCTACCACCACTGAGGTCAGGCCAATAAATAGTATCAACAAACCTTATGAAATGATGAGTGAAAGACCTAGTAACAGTCTTACTTAAATGATAACACCAACAACTGTGGAAGATCCTACCAGTAATCCCTGATGTGTTGTAACATGGGTATGTAGGACACTTATCTTTTTGCTATAAATAAGCAGTCCTGGGTAGAGCCAACCTATGGCTGTCCACTTCAATGGGATCTGGGTAGAAACTGAAGTAATGATGGTGGGCTGGTCCTAAACAAGATGGCAGACCCACAGCTTTTTTTAATTTAGTGTGCTAATTGGTCAGAAATGGCTATTATAAGGTGTAAAATTTTCACAAACAATGGATGCAAGTGGCCTATGAATCCGCATCATTCAGCTGGGTGTCAAAAACTAATTTTGGGCTCAAAGTTAAAAAGGAACCATCCATAGAATAAACAATATTTTACAAAGTTTGCCAAAAGTTTCAGACAAGAAATTTTTTTATTTATTTTTTTTTACATAATAATGGCAACTTACTTGGGTGCCACAATAACTAATATAAGACATACCTTTGAAAGTTTTAGCAAACTGAACATGTAGTCATTGAGATATACAGTAGCTAAAACAACTATCTGTGCATACTTTGTGGGAAACAATATGAGACCATGGACAATAAATTTTGGTATATGAGGGCTATCACTAGTCACACGTAAAATTTTGGAGCATATCGACCCCCACCTGCACAGATACTTGTTTTAGCTACTGTACCTCATAACCCTCAGGTTTTTATGTTTGAACAGTACAATGGTGACGCTCAATGGCACTTTGCCGACTTCATTTGGAAATTGCTGTAGGCATTTTGAAAAATTCATGTCTCAAATTTTGACCACCTCTACTGTAATAGAGAAGGTAAAAAAATAAGCAATTCTATTACATAAAGCACAATATGCCAAAGTTGATGAGTCAAAGGAAGATTAACCTTAACTGAGTACTGTACTGTGGTTCTTCAAGTAAATTTTACCTTATTGCTGGGATATAACTCCAATGAACTGGAGAATTCTAAGATTAAGCTCTGCTCAAGACCCAAGGTTACCAGATTAGAGAGGTTCAACCTGTATTTTACTATATTCCCAATAAAACATTAACCATAAGTGAGCAAAAGGTGAGTGGATGTGGCGACAGTGTATATACATCTGGCAGGGTGTAAGAAATGAAAAAGGGAAGCACATCACACATACGTACATCACACTCCAGTACAGCCATACATACTTCCAACAGAACACACCAAAACTCCCTCTCTCTCTCAAACACATGCATATTACACCCTGATTGACCAACACCTTACTTCACTTTTATTTACAACAATTACCATTAAATATATTGACAGTGAGGGAACAAAAGTGGTGGCAAGAGAGGGTGAGTAAATGTCTGGCACCAAAAGGAGAGAAGAAGAGGGGTGCAGGGAAGACCTCACATACAAACACCATCCCACACTGTTCTAAACATATATCTCTCTCCACCAGCAGTGAGCATCTGTTTATATAATAAGTGACTTCTATGACAATCACTGCTCCCTCCCTTCCAAACACATCACAATGATGGCACCATTTCAGTTTGTTTTACTACCAATTTCTTACTGAAACATTAACACTGAAAAAAATATATAAATGACTACGTAGTTATATAGGGCATGAGGAAGAAGGGAAGGGAGTGAGGCATATCATCCCACACAGGTACACTTACACCCTCCCATACACAAACAAATTCTCTCTCTATGAACTATATGTCTGTCCAGTATAGTATAACCAGTGACAACATCTGTCATGCCACCCCCTCCCTTCATCCCCATTACAAAAGCAACTTTTGCACCAATTCCATCAGATTTGGTAATAGTGACTTGTACAGTACAGTACACTTATACCCAGTACAGTATTATGGTGCATATCTTATCACCACTTCAATTTTTTCTGCATACTCTTATTTTCCAAATGTGTATAGTACTGTATTACAGTATAATACTATATACAGTTTTTTATTTAATATCATACAGTACAGTATATATGCAGTTGCTATTTTCACTGGTTTACTATAAGGATTTATCTACTGCTACGCTGGAGTGATTGGCAGCCAAGCTGGGAAAAGGTAACACTGCCTTGTGGGTATCTACTCAAGAGGGAATGGGTAGGGAAAGGAAAACCAGTAGACAAACCTACTAGCTACATGGGTCAGCTGAGGCAGCTCCATGTAAGATGATATTAGTATAAGCCCCGATACTTCACTATGTAAAAGCTAAACACTCTGCATGCAGGAGATTAGGAGGAGAGAAATCCAGGAAATTAATCCCACACCAGAAGGGAAACAACAGGTGATGTTGACGATGTACTGACATAATAGCTACTTAATTATGTCTATAGCTACAGTATTTGTATTTTCATAATGGCAAAATGTATTTTGTTCCATTGTAGTGCATTTCATATTTGTGGCGTTGTACTGTATTTGAGAGATTATGAAGCTTCAGTAACATCCAGGGGGACATCAAAACAATAATTCTAAATTTTTGGCAGTGCGTGGCTAAATGATCCATATTGCTAAGACACTGCTGTTATATACTGTACTAATGAACAAAGATAAACAACATACAAGTACTGTATTATTTTGTTCATGTTTAACTTGTGATAAAAAAATATTCTCTACTGTACATAATGATCATATACCGTACAGCCTCTTGCCTTTGTAGTGCTGAAGAAATACTGTACGTACTATGACACTGCCCAATCAAATGTTTTATTGTAGACCAGCTCAAGCCTGGTCGAGTTATGCCTCTACTTGTCAATTTGCCATTTTGAACTGGGATGGGCATGTAGTGTCACATTAAAGTAAAGTTTGCACGATGAAAACCAACAATGTGTCATAGGGCAGCATTTCAGTCATTTCAGGTACTAATATTTTGTGTGATGTCATCAGCTCTACAAGTAATGTACAGAAGTTTCTATTTTTATATTCTGTGTGGTTTATTTTCAAAAAGTAGCTAGGTGATTCATAAAGGTACATAAATGTGTTATTACTATCTACCAGACTTGCAACATGTGGTCATGAATATAAGAAGTGCTTTTCCTCTGGAACCATCTCTATATTCCACATGATTAATGTCACCCCTTTCACCTATGTCTTAACACTTTCTTGGTTGGTTTTTAGTTACCTTTGCTAAAACTATTTAACACCACTGTTCAATTGCTATCATCCCTCATTTCTTTCACATTCCAACTTGTGGACTAAAGGTATGCTCTCCAATATAAATTACATCCACCAATGGTTGGTTTTCAATCTCAACCCACAATTATAGTTGCCACCTGCAGCAGGCAGGATTTAAAGAACACTTCTTCTGACCATACATTTAAAAACAATATCGTATTTGTCTGATTTATACACAGCACAATGAGCATAACTCTTTTATAGTAATGATTACTTTGACTACAGATAATAATCAGCAAATGGTAAACAGTACCCGGTACTGTACCTAGTATCTTCTGAAGCCCTACTAAAAGACTACCCAGTCATACACAATAAGTTTTTCCTACCTTTGTTTGGTGTCCTTTTCATTTTGAAAATCCAGCAGTATAGTCTTCATATCACTCTCCAGATAGTCTAAGTGTTTACTCAGGTCCACTTTTTCCTCCACACTACTCACATCATTCACTTTGGTTTTCACCTCCACCACTTCTGTCACTGGAGTGGAGGCAGTATTTGAGATTTCCTCCACTTTAACCTTATGAGGTGCAGGTGGAGGAGTAGCCTTTGTGGTCGGTGGCTCCTCCTCCTCATCACTAAACATGGCATCGTCCTCACCAATATGGTTACTATTATTTACATCACTGTCATTATTGACTGGTGAGGTTCCAAAGTCAAGACCTGTTTCAACTATGAGGTCCATTCTGGTAACAGAGGCAGAAGATACTGGGGCAACAAAGTCTTCAGGTTTCACATCCCCAGGCCCAGAGTTTGAACAGAATTCAGGGAATGTATCACGAATGAGCTTCCGCAATTCTGCATCCATATGGCGGTTGTCAAAGAGTGGATCAAGTGACTGCACTACTCTCTTTTCAAGAATTTGTTTAAGAGAGTTGTGTACTCCAGATCGAACCTTATCCAACAATGGAGGATGGAAATTTGGAATTATCTGAAAGGAATAAAATGAGGTGAAAAGGGAATACTTTTTTTCAGTACAGTAGAGATGATGTGTTGGGGAGCAAAACAAAAGGGGTATGAAACAATGAATGTCATATCCTCATTTGGAAAAGAGAATATATACTGAAAATAAGTTTACTCTATGAAGATAACATACAGTACTTCAAGAATACAAAATTTTTAATAACTCATACTGAACACATTGGCCTACATTGAAATTTCAAAGATGTTGCTACTATGATATTTCCTTCATTCACTCTCGCAAGTTCCTTTCTGTCATGATGTTGGATGAACAAACTTTCTCTCATCTACTGTAATACACACTATAGACTCTGTAACAGATCACATCACATCCATCTTCATAACCAACTTGATGTAATGTTTGCCAGCCACTCATGCATACAGCTGCTTCCTGGATGACCATTCCCTCTCACCTACAGGTAGTGTCTCCCTCAGCCTTTCCTCCCATTTCCTTGAGCTCCACCCCCTCTCTCCTACCATTCAATTATAAATTATATACTGTACAGTAGTATATGCTTTTTAGCAATCTAAAATTTCCCAAACACTGTCTGACACCCCTTTTCATTGCCTTCTAATATCTGTAATCCTTCTTTACATTCAAATCACCCTTGTATTGATCACTTCTGTCTCATGCATATCATGTGCATCACTTTCAATTTGCTTCTTCCTCTTGTATCCAAAATAAATGCTTTTCATCTGTACAACAATGAAGGATAAACCTTTCTCCAACATATCCTCATCTTGGTACATTCTGATTCAGTTCTCTCTAGATATATATATATATATATATATATATATATATATATATATATATATATATATATATATATATATATATATATATATATATATATATATATATATATATAAACTCACCCTGCAGATGAAGTCCAAGAGGGAGGTGGTAAGAACTGGGTGTGGCCGCATGGAGTGGTACATTACGAGAATGCCAGGTTCTGTGAGAATAAATACGTTGTTAACATTCCTATTTAGTAGAATTTTTCACATCTAATCTGAGTAGGTAGTGCAAAGTTGCTTACTTGGTTACCTATGTAAACTATAGGGATGTGTCCCTTCAGTTAAAGGTCAAACATCTCAGAAGAGAAACTGATTACAGTAATTACATTCTAGCCTTAAAATAATGATATGTACCAAAAGAGCTAATCTAGCATGTTTTATATTGATTTTAAACAATAATCAAACCATTAGAGTCATCACAAAGGGCTGAAGATTTGTGTTAGTTTATCTATCACATAAGGGAAGCAACAGTTGCTTGCACTAAGAATTGAGTATCCATCAACAGAATAAGGGATGCCTCAGCAATATTCACCAGAGGAAAATAAAACATAAGAAGCAGGGAAAAACAGAATGGGAAACAATAACATAAAAAGTAAAGTGGAAGTAAGGAAAATTTTGAAAATGATCAAGTAAAGCTGAACAAGATATGTGCTTTAGAAAAACCATTTACCCTCTCAGCCACAGAGCCTGAGACACATACGTGCATGAAAACTTACGCTCAGCCTCGGAGGTTTTTGCCGAAAAATCTTTGAAAAATACATATTTCTTTTTAGGGCTCATTTCACTGCCATGGAATTGCTTTATTAAATGTAGTGGGGTCTCTTCTAGTGTAAAATTGTCTGAAACCAAACAAAATTTTAAATTCTTGAAATTTAAGCCAATTTTTTCGAGTACAAGTTGAAAAAGTAGGAAACGTTTAGAAATATCTTGATTTCCTTTCACATTTTCCTTGTATTATGGTGTTCATTGATATGTACTATATACCAAAATAAAAAATAAAGCATGCAGAATATTGCGGTATAAGGAAAAATAATACAGTAAGATCTTGTATTTCGTGAGTACTATAAACTGGAAAAACTGCGCCAAATTCAAATTTGCCAAATGCAAATACATAAATTAATGGGAAAAATAACAATATAGACTGGCCACTCTGCATCAATCTCTGATTTTTCCATTTATAACCTCCAAATGATACAAATTCTGCCTTTATTGACTTGATTGTGCTTTCCAGAAACTAGTTTTTAGGCCTTCCTCAAGTAATTTAATCACACGCTGCTTATCCTGCATCGAGTACTTGGCAAACTTAACTCCCTTATGATAGTCCCGCTTCTCCTTTTCCTTATTTGGCCGCTTAGGTGGGTCTGTCCTACCCCCACCAGCAGGACCCCCAGTAGAGGTAGAGGCCATTATCTTGACTCGACGGGTGGTAGCACCACCCAAAAAAGCACACCATAACAGCCCAGGCAGTCACGAGGCTGGAGCAGGCTACAATGCGATAGTTGTGTTCTTGTAAACCTCTTTTACGTTCACCACCGGCAATTCGATCACCAAAACTCTTCTTGGAAACATTCTTCTTACCTTGTCTTTCCGTATTCATCGATAACACAACAAAATTGGAGAAAATAGCGAAAAATCACGGAGTAATTGACAGAAACCACGCGATTCAACTGATCATGTGATGTAAATAGAGAGCGTTAGTGTAAGCCGTTATTAGTCCTCACTGCGAAACATTCTTTTTGCTTATTCTTTTCATACAGTATTTATGGGTAACAGCTAAATCCCCCCCCCCCAAAAAATTAAAAATAAAAGCTTTATAGAGTACCACTCAAAATACACTTCGCAAAAGACACGAATCAACTGAACATGTGATGTCGAACATGAACTGTAAACATTGCATAACCTCACGCCGCGCTTAAAACGTTGAGGATGGAATCACGCTACAGCCAACATTCGTATGCAAAGTTCGCGTTTTACAAGCAGTGTTCTCCTATTCATCAACCGCGGTGGAACCAATTCGCGTTGACAAAACACGCATTGTAGCAAAAATGACTGTAACTGGTATGAGGGCTGTGATGTCATTCAAGACGGTGGCAAGCATTCAGCTTGCTGAATCTCACGTTCAGCTGGCTGGATCTCGCGAAATTCACGATAACGCCAAATATAAGACTTAGGTAGTGCCCGCGAAATTCAAAAATGCGAAATGAAATTGCAAGAAATATGAGATCTTACTGTATAACACAAAAACTCATGGAATAATTAAAGGGCCAAACGGCACACCTTCCTCTCACTCTAATAGCCAGAGCGACACTGACTTCATGCTGCGCTGCCACGCACACTATGACCAAGACCATCTCAGGGAAAGTGAAAAGGCCCACACAAAAAACGACGTCTGTCAAATGGTGTCCAAAGTTCAGTCAGTTTCACTGAATAGTTCTGAGTTATTTGAAATTTAGCCCATTGGACGCTGGCATCGCAAGGCTGAGCGTAAGTTTTTTTGCCTTTTATGTTCAACGCTATTGTGCGAGGCCGATAGGGTTAATATGTAAAGAAAGACCTTTCCTTCCCCTACTATGGTGTTTTCAGGAACAGCTAATGAAACAATCTAGCTAAACCATACTACTAAAACAATGACATTAAACTCACCAATATTCATGATGTTGTCTGTCTCTGTGTTGTATAGTAGCCAGTCATAAAAAAGTGCCAGCTTAGAGTTAGCAGTTGCAACAGGAGATGTACAAGAAGAAAGAAGCCACCCAATCACAGCCCAACGTGGAATAATATCTGAACACAGAACCTCATTGGGTGGGTGGATACAGCCGATAATAAAACGAATGAGGTCACATCTCAACGTCTGGCTCTCAGGTGTGTTCAGGTACTGTAAAAAAATAAATTATCTCAACCATACACAATATTTACTTATTATATACAGTATTGCACATATGCACGATAATTTTTTCATGCATATTTAACTTGGGATCAACTTATTATTCTTTATGTGGTGCTGTGCCTAATGCTATGTAAGAAATAACTCAATGAAAAAACACTTAATAAAATTATGCCAAAGATAAATTTCTCTCTAAAACCAGGATCATGAAATAGATCCATTAAAAGCACATTTTGATAAACAAGCAAAGCAAATTATTCCAGAAAATCGGGTTTGGGGTTCTGAGTTATGATTGTAACAGGTTTTTTTTACTGATGGACACTTCAAAGAGGTACATTTATCAGGTACAATATTCATACTTAAAACTTATTAGATGTGAAAACAATCCATACAACTATTAAGTGCATGTGTTCTCATCTGTGTGGGATAGAATATACTTTTAATGCAGGCAAAAAACATTGCTTAACCACAATCAAGCCATGAACTATTAATACAATCTCATCAGGGTATTGAGATCAGAGATGGTCTGCTATTTTGCATATTAACTTTTCATCATTAGCTCTTATGGCCATTTTCCATGCTTATGTAGGTTAGCCATAATTACTGTAGGGGTAGCAACTCTCCTTGCTGTAGTCTCTCATCATATTTAATGTATGTACAAGATAATTTTGCAAAAGGCAGGTTAAATGTTAAGTGCATATTCCTAAATATAATTTTTTTTCATATACTGTACAAGTAATTACATTCATATCTGGGTGTTGGTCACAGAATATGGCTTTATAGCAAACATTCCATAAACAAAAGTAACGTTAATCTTTCTGTTAGCTGGAATCTTTAATCCCGGAACTCTCCAAAGGGCTGGAAAATTTTTGGAGCATTCTGAGAAATTCTGAGGAAAATATCTCCGTTCCAAGTATTCAAATGAATTTCCGAGAAATTACATCATGTTTCTGACACATGGATGCATGACCAGGCGCAGGGGTGGGTAGGTTCAGAAAGCTTGTGATTACGATTGGCTACTACTGTCATGTGAGTGCATAGGATGCTCATGATTAGCATGTATCATGCAGACCATCTCCTCAAACTCTAGCATCATGACAGTCTTAGTTCATTGTCTGCTGCCACTGTACAAGCTTGTTCACTCACTCCTGTTTTCGTTTATGATTTGTTTTGTACAGTCCCGTACATTACTGTACCAGCAAACAATCAGCAAAGAAAACTGTAAGGCAGTATAAAGAAGGAAAAAGTGATTCCAGTTATGTACAGTATACTGTACAGTACTGTAGTACTCTACTGTACATTCAAGTAAAGGTGAAAGTACTGTACATCACAAAGTGGACAGCTGGAGGGTATGCCTACTGTAGGGTAGTGTGCAGAGGGTGTATGTGAAATATACGGTGCATGTAAAATCCCTGCTTCATGGAGACAGGAGTGACTGATAGCAACATCTGCTACAGGAGATAGTACAGGAAAAAGGCAGGCCATCCTGTATCATCATATTACCATTTAGCCTGCCTGCATCACAAGTCAAGACAAAAGCATCTGCTAATGATTATCGTAGTGTATATACAGCTGCTCCTCGACTTACAACGGGGTTAGGGACCCAAATCCAGGTCGTAAGTCGAATTGGTCCCAAGTCGAAAATGCTTAAATAATACATAGAAAATCTAAAATGGGTGTCTCTTTTTCTTCTCAGCACCACAAAACTCTCACTTTTAAGCTTGCCAGCCACTTTAAAGTGAATTACAAACGAAAATTTTGTCGGTACACAGCGCAATCACTAACGTCAGGACTCGAAAATACATAATTTGCCAAATTTTGGTACGACTGAGGCGGTCGTATGTGCGGATGGTCTTAAGTCGAGGAGTAGCTGTAGTAGTATATTTTGTTTATCTATAATATATATAGTATGTGTACATAAGTGTTTGCATAAATAAATACAGCTCTGAGTCTGTCCAACTGAAGTCTCATGTAGAAACATTCAACAATGCCCGAAAATTCTGGGGATGAGAAAATTCGTCTCAGTACCCGGAACCACTCTGCACCAATTATTATGGCTAAAGGGGATATTACTGTGCTGTGCTGTATTTCAAATCCACCTAATTATGGATTAAAATTGAGGAATTGATAAAACCCTTTTGATTCCTGAAGCGAGACAGTCCTTCAACATATATTATATTTTACATCAGATTCAGATTTGCCTCATGGCTGGGCTAGCATATACAGGCATGAGACCTGTAGTGCAGTACATGTTAAATGGAGTTATTATAGAGGCTTTCACAACTTTACTTTTTTGCAAAACAATCACCTTTATCTGAAAGCTTCATTATCCTTAATATTAGTAAATTATAATTGATGATAACAACAACAAAACTTATAACAAGAATCTGAGGTTGTTTTCTTACTGCTTTTGGAAACTAAAGAAAGACCTGAAATATATGAAATATGTTACTGTATTCACCTGTCTTTGGAACCATTCTTGGTATCTCTTCTGCATACCAAATTTAACATCTGAACATAAGAACAGTATCTTCTTTTCCATTTCTGGGGTTAGCCTCACCACAAAGAATCTTCTTGATGTTCGTGTTTGAAGGAGTTGGAGAATTCCTGTAAATGAGAATTACACATTACAGTGTACTGTATTACCGACACTAAAATCTCTGGATACTTATAAAAATTTGAGCAACGTGATTCTCTCCTTGCTCTCATTCAGATAAAAGTAAGACTTAATAACTTGTATAAAGATATTACAAGAAAAGCTATTAATTAACTTTCAGGCTTTAAGAATGACTAACAAAAGCATAATTCTCAAGTTGTCAGAAAGCAAAAAGCAAAGGTCAGGTGCTACCCATATAAAACACAGGTACTGTATATATACCAAGGCCCTCCCCTATAACTACCTGTACTATAAAAAAGTTGCAGGGTCCACCTATTAAGATGAAAATTTCAGGTAACTTTTAAGAGTTTATCCAGACAGAAAATATTATTCAATGCACTCGAGATTTCTTCAGCACACGATGTATTACTTCCTTAACCCTTAAGCCCCGGGTTAGGGTGCTGCTGGCAGTACCCCCCTTGTGGGGTTAAATCGTGAAAAAAAAAAAACTTAAAAAAAAAAAATTGGGGAAAATAGGCTGACGTTCTGGAACGTCACCCAGGGCGCGCTAGTCGGAAGTTCTGGAACGTCACCCGGGGCCTAAGGGTTAAAGGGTAATGAATAATTCATATTGCAAGATGAACAAATGTCAGCTAAATCTTGTAGTAAAGTTAAGATTTCTCACACTGACTTCCATCAAATGATAAGGGCTTTTAATCTGATAATGGTGAAGTTGTTATTCAATATTTTTTTAACTAAAAATTTCAACTGAAAATAACATTTGAGAACAAAAATAAATAACATACCAGTAAAACTTGAACAGAGAGAAGTGGGGTTATGGATCATGTCTCTCCAAAAGGCCTCAATCTCCTGGATCTTGGCAATGTTTTGAAGAAGCCGCACCAAGTCCCGTCCAATCATTAAACAATCCTGAGGGTGAAATTGCTTGGTTAATTAAAAATGAAGATCTACTGTACAATATTGTATATGCTGTACTAATAAAATTAACTTTGATGAAAACTTTAGTGTTGTAAGTTTATGATATTAAAAAAAGGGAGACAACAATAAGTGAAATTTAGAGCAGGTTGGCCAGGGGTGAGCACTTATAACCAATGTCGACAAAAGAAAGGGTCAAAATGTCTTGAATTACACTCGTAGCACAACTCTAGCCTCCTCCCTTTTCTTGGCTACCTTCTTATTACCATGTAAGTGGATATTCTTTGAAACCTTGGTTTGAAGAGAAAAATAATCTAATTACCATTTCAATTTAACTTTTAGATCCCAGTCACAAGTTAGGGTTCCTGGTCTATGGGTTTTCACTAATAAGACCTATTGCTAAATTAACTACATTACTGAATCTACTTGGAGGTCTCCTGCCACTAAGCTTGCATCATAATTATGAAATCTTAAACTAAAATTTTCTTTTTAACCACACTTTTAGGTTACACAAACAAGCAACACCCACCTGAAAACGTTCTCTCAAGAGGCCCACCACAAAATTAACCTCCTTCTGTCTAAGGCTTGCAAACTGAGGTGCATGGTGATCTTCAAGGATGCGTAAGTATGTGTAGGAAACTGATGCGACAATCACTGGGAACTTGTCTAGCCATGGTCTGAAAGTATTTAGAACCATCATAAATATTAGAAGAATTATGCATAAACTGATGACCTGTGAAAATCTTTCACCAAATGAAAAATGCTGAATTCCCTCTTTTTCAAAAGCTATTATATCAGCTGGCTTCATTCTCTCCAACTTTTACTATAGCCATCACAAATTTTCATTTGTACCATACATCACTCACCTATTTTCTCTTAGTATATCTACTAAACTTTCAGCCAACCATATATTCTTCTGTGAAACGTCCCCACCGGCAATTTGTCTGAGGAGGCACCATACAACTCCCTCCACATTGTTTATGCCCGTCTTGACAAGTTCTCGCACCAGCCACAAGAGCTGTCTTCTTGTGCTCTCTGACAACCGGGAAAATCGCTCACCAATAATCTGGTGTATTAGCGTCTCAGTCACCACTTTTAGTGAATCACGAGACACAAGAGTCAGGTCATGGTAGTGCTGGAATGTTAATACTGCAGGTCAGAGTTTATACCCAAATTAAAAGTCAATGACAATATTGTTGCATTTTCTTCAGGATATCAATCCAACTGAGACAACCCGTTACAAATCAGGTTTAAACACAAGGCCAATTTATAACTACAAAATATGACAATCCTGAAGTATGTGAATCAAATTCTTAAAACCTTTAATTTCTACTCATGCATAAACAACTTCAAAGCTAAATGAAATAGAAAAGCTGAGGAAACAACTCTGCTATGACTGTACAGAACTTCAAGTAAAGACACTATAAAAAAAAAAGGTTTTGATTATTAACCCCTTCAATACAGGGGTGCCACTTTTGATATTTCATTTGGCTAACACCAGACAATATTATTCAGCACAGAGAGGATCCCATACATTAGTGGTTAGTATACCATCTCCCCCCAAACCCTTCACTAAAGGAATGACAGACGCCAAATAATTTTATTCACGACTGAGGAGATCCCATACACATGCTGTTAATGTTCTAAGTTCAATAAAACAGTAATGACCAACTATGAGGCATAAGGGTTTGAGTCACCACTTTACAGAGACCTAAAATATTCTACTCTACACCTGTAAATGGATCTGGATACAGGAAAGTCATATGAGCTGAGAAACAGGAACAGGTTTGCCTTGATGCATAAATGAAAAATATAAATGCAGTGAGTGATAACTAGACTGCTTTTCTAAATTTCCTGGAACAAAAAATGCAAATTTTTTTACATACAGTACACTAAAATAATCATGCAGAATAGGAGCACAAATATTTAGAGGCCCACACCACCAGAGATACACGGTTCCCATCATTACTTAAATCAATAATCTTACTCTTGAGGCTATGGATGGGTCGGCAAGGATGCTCACTAGTAGACCCAGACAGAGCTCGTCGTGAACTTTGCGGTCATCTAAGGATTTGTTCAATGCGTGATGTGACTCTTCTTCGGTTAGGCCACGGGTTAAGTTGATCACTGTGTTGTACGCTTTATCATATTTCTGGAAATGAAGCATAACTTAAGAAATGCAATAAATATACAGTAGGTATCTAAAAAAAAGGAAGACGTATTTACACTTTGAGATCAAAATCTAGGTACAGTACAGTACTCTACTGTAATTGACAATACCTGGATTTTTTTTGTCCTAAAGTGCTGTACCAGTCAATTAAAAAAGTAAAACCAACCAATATTCATTTTTAGCAGTACAATAATAACAGTAATAATGAATAACCAGATATATCTTGTTTAGTGAGATTTTTCTTTGGTTAAGATAAAACACACACAGGGGTGGACAGTAATGAAGTTCGGTATCATTACTTAGTTACTGTCTACCTCTGATTTAGCTCTTTAATTGCATAACAGATGAATCAAAGGAGTGGAATTTCAAAGATTAGGCATTACTGTACTTGTATACACATACAGTGCACCAGTTAGACATTGTATTAGAAATTAAATTTGATTTGGATGCAATAAACATATACATGTATTAATTTCTATTACATACAAGGTCTAACAACTTAATAAGTCAATTAGAGCTGTTGTTTGGCAATGAATACGGTATCTGCTTATTGTTAATGTATTGGCAATAGGGAACCAGTTTTTGGATTGAACTACAAACTGCCATTCACTTCCTCAGTTACTGTCTGGTTGGTGACAATCAAAAAGATTAAATGCAAATAAAACACAAGGAACATGACTCTAATTTCCTATTTCCTCTATGTGACCTTTAACGATATGTTTACTTAAACGAATAGAATATATATCTGGCAACAAAAAATGATAAAGTACGCATGAGCTTATGAAAATAATGTTTTAATTCTCCACATGAAACATCAAGGTCTTGTCAATAAAGATAGTTCAGGGATGTTACAACAGTGATTCATTAATTCCTAATGGCAGCTAAGAAATCACTAATCCACTCCATGTGCAAAAAATGGGACACGAGGAACAAGAAACGTCAATTCTTGTTGGCTGCTGTCCCTTTCACTAACATCAATTGATGACAGTCACCAATTAAGGGCTAATGATGACGTACACTATGAACCTATTAAATTAAATAATTACGATTGGTTGGTTGGTGTCATATGCTGTCGTAAATGATTAGATAATAACTATTCTCTGACTTAGTTTTGTTGACAATATTGCAGCATCTCATAAAAGGATTTAAAATATATGTAAAGTATTCACACTAATTTTTCCTAGCTCCTGTTGGAGTTGCAGTGTAAACATATCAAGAATTTTTATCAAATAATTTCAAATACAAAAGCAAACGTACCCTTAACCTTTACCAAAATACTGTTATGAACGGTACAGTAAATCCCCATAAAATATACTGTGGCTAATCGCCTACATGAATTCTGTATTGTTATCACTCGTGATATCTGAGAAAAGAAATTGCACTCATCAGGTTATCTCTTGTTCAAAGTTAGCCTCAACTAAAAAATAATACCCATTACTGCACAATACAGTATATAAAATTAAAATATTAAACTTTAGAATTACACAATCTATTACAGGTATCACAATTTAGGAAAGGTAAATACAGTCTCTCCTCGACTTATGGCATATTCAACTTACGACAACCCGGACATACGACGACCATGGTCGTATAAAATATTTTTCACATTACGTATTTTCGAGTCCCGACGTTAGTGATCACGTTGTGTCCTGGCAAAATTTTTGTTTGTAATTTCCTTTAAAATGGCTGGCAAGCATAAAAGTGAGAGTTCTCGTGGTGCTGAGAAGAAAAAGAGACACCCATTTTAGATATTCTATGTATTATTTTCGCCTTTTCGACTTACGACCTGGTAGTCGGGACGGAACCCCGTCGTAACCCACTCCAAGGAAACAGTTCCTGTGAATCTATAGATATCATCATTCTCAAAACTTACATTAAATAAAGGCCCATCACATCTGATTATGTAGAATCAAAGAGAAAAAGTCATGTCGCGGTTTTGTCCGAAGATTAAATATAACTCGTGAAACATTATGAGAGCCCCCTACCAAGAGTGCACCAAAAGTTTAGCCCTTCGGCACTACGTTTTCACAAAATTTCATGACACGACTTTTGTCTTTCATTGCACCTAAACATGTTATAAAGTTTGGCAGCTAAATAATCATAATTGGACTATCCAGTGATTGATGGTAAATAATACACATGGTAGGTACCCACTCGGTTTTAGATATAAACCGGCAAGTAGGCTGCTGCCTTAGCGGTGTGGCTTGCAGATGCTCCATAATGAAAGCAAGCTATCACCGAACTAGTCTAATTTATTATGAACAATCCACCATGTTACTATAGTATGCAGTCTACTGAGCTGGAGTTGGTCTATTGGGATATTTAGGGGGCTACCTAGCATCCATTAACTGGAAAATATTTGGGATAATCCTACCCACCAGGGTAACAGGTGATGAAGTCACTAATAACTGACCTGATCTGATGTAGAATATAAAACTGGAATCATGAAGAGAAAAATTAGTATCATTCTAGAGTTCAAATGAAGAACATCAGTGTTGAAAAAATTTGGGTGCTACTGACAATGTTGCTGAAAGATTTCTACAAATGTATTCCTAACCTAATAACAAATACAATTGTAGCAGTGTACAGTATACTGTACATGAATAGTAGACCACACACTTTAGTGTTAACAGCCCGGTAGCCCTCATACATAGCAGTACCCAATGCACTAAGTAATATAGCTACTATACACTCAAGTAAAGCACAGCTCAGTGGTTTGTTCCTCCTAAAACCTGACACAATTCAGTAATGGTCTGTTTCTATTTGTTTTTAAGTATGAGTAGGCAGTTTGAGTAATAGTTCAGGACAGCTCATTTTATCATGAGCCACTTTAGGAAAAATTACATTTAAGAAAATTTGTTCCTTACTTTTTGAGCATCAATAAAAAATTTGGAGGAAATGCATCTTTCCTACTTTCGTTTTTATATCGCATTTCTACACGTTTCGGGTTAAATTGCTGATGTGCTCACCAGTGAAAGAATCTTAACACTAAGCAACCTTCCCAACAAACTTTGCATAACAAAACAATACCCTCAACACCCGACCAAACATAACCTAAAATAATGCACTTTCATCCTTGGGCGGGTAATATTAGTCTTATTAATTTTATGGTAAATCATCGGTGGTATATCGGTGGCCACTGGTGAGTGTTCACGGGTAAGAAATTAATAATAGAACCTCATCATTTTTTGGTATTTATTAATTTAAGCCAATTTATAATCATCTCTACAAAAATAGGGTATGTACTCAAAAGCTACTGAGGGTTATTCATGTGTATAAAATGAAAGCATTAATGCCTATGAGACGTTTACCTTATAGTGCTTGTGTGAACAGCTGATAATCGGTGAACGCTTGAGATGAAAAGGTTACAATTGCAAAAATGTGTTCCTACACCCACATGACCCACTGTGGTAACCTGCGTCTCCAAACGGCAACAGATATGATTAGTGGATAGTATGCTATAAGTTATATAGGCTGGCCATTTGGAGACACGGGTTACCAAATGGGGAGTAGGAACAAATTTCCACAAGTGTACCAACATTTGTCTTCATGAAGATAAAGTAGGAAAGTTGCAATGACACATGTACTGTACTCCAAATTTTTATAAGCAGTGGGTAAATGATATAATAGTATTTATTGCATTATCAACCATGTATTGCTAATTAACTTAAGCAAACCAACCAACCCTACCAAACCTTGATTGTAAAGATAAATTTCTGAGATTCAGTTGACGGTAACAAATGGTGATCAAATGCAATACAGTACTGTACTGTAACATCTTTTCTAGTAGTTTTCTGATTTTCAACTCACGATATCTCGGTTATGGGTAAAATGTGAGAAAAGTGTCAAAGAAGAAAATCGTCTTATTTTTGTCTAAAATTATTAAACACAAAAAAATCCCACCATTTATTGCCACCGCTTAGAATTTTCTAATTTTCAATTCACGAGATGTCGATTATGGATAAATTGCACTAAAAATTGTCATAGACCGGCATGTGGTCTACTATAAATTGATCCACAGATGAGCCACACCTACACAATTACATGTCATCTCAGCAGATATTATTCCTCATTTACAATGTTTAAATCTAACAAAAAAAAAATTTGTGTATATAAATATCATGCCATGTTTTTCTTCACATAATTAAATAAAAAACTATTATATCATTCCATCTAATACATAAACAATGCACCAGCAAAATCGCCCAGACTATTTTGCTGTGACCGATAATGTAGACTATTCATTTTTACTTATATTGTAAAGAGGTAAGAAATAAGTTTTCTTCCTGCAAATTTTTTCCTAAGTGGCTCATAATAACATGCACTGTTGTAAGGCACAGTATTACTTATGTTTTATCAGTAAAGATTTGAAAAAAAAATGCAATTAGTCTTCATTTAATGTTTCTAAAAGTGATAAAATCTACTGAATCAAAGGTTCTGAGCTGAAGTACGGAATATACAATCCATAAAACATGTATTTTAACACAATTCAGTCTTTATGTTTACTGGTACTCATGGCTAAATTTCGACAGGTGTGTTAGGCTGCAATCATTTCCTCTCACACTCCTTTTTGTTGTCAGCATATAAAGACAACAACTAACCATACAGTATCAAACAATACTTCAATAAACTATATCATTCCAAACTTTATACATTAAGGTAAAACATATTAACAGTAGCAGCAGGTAAAATCAGCTGATATAAACAACACACCAGGGTGGGCTGACACACCCAGTCCTCAGTCATCTACCACATGGTGTTTTTAACTACAGTATGTTATAATAAAACCTTGTAATGTATCATATATATATATTATCAATTTCTCTTTATATATAACCCTCTGGAGCTTATAGTCATAGTTGGGTTAAGACTCCTGATAAACAACATCAACACTAACCCCATTCTCCTAATTTGGGATGAGTTAAAAGTTTCCACACTAGATATATACAAGATACAAAATTATATATGAATTTTAGTTTAGAGTGAACATAGGATATTCACAAATATTTCCTCTATGAAGCCAGTACATGTGTTACACTGGGGGGGCAGCTACATGTCTTGCTCGGTGTTACACGTTTTTCCATTCATCTTATCTATTCACGTGGCTGTCTACAAGTTCATTTCCAAACACATCTTTAACAATGCATGTCAATATATTTCTTATGGTAATTATTTAACACTCATTCGTTGCTAAGTTACCCTTCCCTTATCTTACGAGTTTACAATTATAAACAACACATCTTAGGGTAGTGCCACTGACTCCACGGTTCTTGGAGGCTTCATATTCCCATTTAATAGATTGAAAAAGTCCATAATAAGCTAGAAGAATGTGATAGAGTTAGTCAAAGGTCAGTGTTGACACGATCAGCTGTTTGGAGGACAGCACCCGGGTGCGCCATGATCATGTGTGTGCATCTCCTCCGTCACCACAGCCTCGACACCCTTCAAACAAAACACACAAAATTACCTCATCTAGGTCGATGCGGCCTTCGATGACCGACGTGGTAAATAACCGGGATGTTACGGGTCTCTCGGTGGTCATTTTGACTGCATAATCGTCCTAATTCCGTAAGAAAATCCAATTTATATGTCACACGGAAGCTTGCACAGCCTTCACAACAGCCGCGCAGCCATGGCGCGGTGGAATACACAGTCGGCGGAGTGAGGCGTTGTGCGGCTCACGGACCCGTAAGTACAGGGATCATAACACACAAGTTCATTATTGCTTTTATCCATGAGGTTCTGTTGGAAATTTTTAGAGATAAATATAATTATTTTTATATCGTAAATATTTTGTATTTATTTTAAGATAAATTTAGCTAATAATATATAAGATATCTACTAAAAAACGTCAACTCGGCACATGACTGTACCTGCAAGACCACTACTTCAACCTTCCTTTTTCTCTCTCCTCTTTACCGTGCCAGTTACCCAGTGTTGGAGGGAGGGGTGATGCGTGTCCGTCTTTTCCTCCTTCTCTTGTTGGTTATTTGAATATTTACCTTGTTAACAGTGTTTTGAAGGATGTTGGGGGGTATTCAGTATCTAATACGTTCATTAGCATATATTCATGGGAGATATCAGAGATAATCTAAACATTGAAAAGAAAAATAAACATTCAAAACACTTAGATTTCCAGCGTTATACTGCTGCATGCTAGGTAACTCCCGCAACGTTACCCGGGGCACATAGCAATCGTCCACATTCGTTTGTTGTTTACTTGCTCACTCTTATAATGCCCCTATCAGCCGGCTATTTTTGAGCATAATGGCCTCTAGGGAGGAAGTTAATCCTTTGTACTAAAGCCCGTGTGTCACGCAGACCACGCGGTGGTACACCCTAATGCTAGCTTTATAGTGTACAGAATCTACTGTACTTGCTGGAGAGGAAGTGTCGCCAAGCTCTAAATCCTAATCCTTACCAAGTCTTGTAGAGTAGTGTTACTAATAACTTTTACCTTGTACGGGAATACACTGCAGGTAATTTGTAAAGGACCTAAACTAGCCCACCTTTACTCCTTTAGGATCTATAGAGGTATAGAGGGGGCTACTAAGAGTGTCCGCTGGCCGAGTGGTGGCCTTATGGTTACCTTTGGTGACTGGGGACAGTCTGAACAATTGAAGTTACAAGCATCAATGACGTCCCCGTTTAGGTGGAAGTCAATATCGTCGACAACACGGTATGGGGAGTCATCTCCCACGCTGAGATACAACACTTGAAAAAGAACGAAATATACCACTTTCTGGAAGACGTATTCGTCGATCGCAAAATGAAGAGACCAGGCGGAAAATTCACCTCAGCCCTGGTTGATATTTTCCACAAATTACCAGAGACAATATACTAGGATGGGACACCGTCCCAGTGAAACCTTACATACCGACAAGATGCTACAGGTGTCAGAGGTACGGACACCCAGCAAAGAAATGCAAGGCCCCAGAGGACGTATGCTCCAGGTGCGTGTCCTCTGGACACCAGAGCAAAGACTGCAAGACTGAAGAAGACAAGAAATGCGCTGCCCGTGGCAATCCCCACTCCTCCTACCAGGGATGTCCCAAATGGAGGGAAGAGTGTAGCAACGCCAAGGTGAAACACACAAAGAACCTTAACTACAGGGATCCGCTTCTCCAAGTGAGAAGAAACAAGAAAGAGGAACAAGAACAAGAAAAACAACGAGAACAAGAACCAGAAGAACAACAAGCACAAGAAGTGTGGGAGGTGCAAAGGAAAAAAGAAATCCAACAAGTCTACGGCCATAGTAACCGATGCATTTTTTTGGGGGGGGGGGGAGGATTAGTCCACCCGAACACAGGTCACTGATCCACATCGGGGCCTGGGGGCGAAAATGTAATAATAATACTAATAATAAATTGACGGCCGGGCAATTAAACATACAACAGCACTGTTTAGAACCTTCACTGCTGAACAAGAGCACCTCCAAATAACATAATCTAGTCTCTGCTATATGGCAGTGAATCTTGCCTGATATCTTTATCTCTTGGAAGGGACCTCTCGACTTAGACAAGTCCTTGTAATGTGGCCGGGCAGGGCGTCCTGCCAATCTTTCTTTTTCGCATGACTTCCCAAACTTCTACCTGTACAAACTCCAAAAGGTTTATGTGTAAATCATATAAGCTGGGCTACTTCCCTCCCCCCATTGGCCCCCACAAGACTGGTCTACTCATTGTAACTTCATTCCCTTAGATCTTGTGATAACATCTCACTCTCTTGTTGGAAATCACTCATTTGTGTTTATTCCTGTGAGGAGATGTTTTGCTGAGCGTGTATCATCCCATACTTCTTTATTTGGTCATGTTAAATCAATCGTCATTTTTCTCTTACGCAAACACACATTATGTATACGAGTATATAGGGAGAGAGAGAGAGAGTACACAACTACACATCATGGTCTAACTGGAAGAGATATACAGATGTATAAGATAAAAAACTTGTAAGGTGTGGTACGAACAGTCTCGTGGATACATTTTGTACACACTCATGGTTACACCAGCCAGTGATGATAGAGTTAAGCATCCCGGGTACCGCCGAGGTGCTTGAACTTCAGGTGGGCTCTTGGGGTGCCAAATCCTCATGGGATCCATATTAGACACTGACTGATGGACACATACACGTACGGTGCTTACTATACATACATATAGTTTGGATAGCCATATATATATATATATATATATATATATATATATATGATTTAAACAGAAAATCCTGGAATGACTTGAGGTCTTCATCCATTAGAGAAATGGCAGAAAAAATATATACCCTACAATAGTGGGTGTACTGTATGTGATCATTAAACTTAGGTTACACTCTGTTAAGTCTTCCCTTCATACACGTCACACACCCCCACAACAGTGTAATAGAAAGCTGTGTCGTGGTGGAGGTAACACAGAAAATGGGATGCCAGCACCACCAGCAGCCCGCACCCGTGAAGCCAAACCTTTACACTCGCTAAGGCCGAGCTGTCACGAACTATCAGGGGTCATATGACAGTGTACTGTAGACCTACGAACTTTACCAAGTGTAAGGAGGAAGTACAATAAGGTACATGTGCACTTGTAAACGCCCTTATTAAGTATGTTTTTGGTTTCATTTAACTTAAATGAACACTTGGAAATCCTTTGCGTAACTTACCGGTAATTCAAGATGGCTTCATCAGGTCCACTGATATTTATAAAGTATGTACATGGATTATCAATTACTTCATTTGTTTTCATACATATATTATCTTTTATACAATACTTCAACTCTCCAGGCGTTTAAGTAATTTTTTGTTGTACATTAGTTGGTATTTGTTATACAGTAATTCTCTACATTTATAAATTACTTAACCATTCTAATCATTTATTTTGTCCATACTTTTATATCTTTTATTTGTTAAATTATCGTCTTCACTAAAAAAAAAATCATACTCTATACCAGTTATTTTTTCAAACAAAATTATTTTCTTACATTAATTAACCTCTATTATTTATTAATATTTTCCATACATTCATAAGTACATTTCTTAACTGGGGTGTTTCACGTCAACGATCTGTTTACACATTCAAATAAATAATTTTTTCCACCCAAGTACATTAATTGCCATTGTTTTTGTTGATATTGTCCATATTTCTTTATCCATTTTCTACATATTCCTCTGTTATTCTTCATCACCATCCAGCACTTCTTTTTCTTTTCTTTTTCTTCTTTATCATCCTTCATCTTCTTTTCCTTTTTATTCACTATTTCTTCATATAATCTTGTTCCCATGCTGGACCGCTAGTATCATTATCACCACTCACGTACAAAACTGCTTCGCCTCCACGCTAAAATAAAAATAAAAATAAATTTAATACTTTTTCCTCATAGGATAAGTGAATTCATCGTGTGCAAATAGCGTCCCCCTCTCCCCCTTCATCACTGGGATTGATCACCAATCTGACTAATAAAAATTGTTCAACTAAATGTTTTTACCGTCAGCCACGTCTACGATTAGAGCCTGATATTTCCTGAGAGAATTTGGCATGGGCGACGAGAACGAAATTAAGAAGACTTCCTGTTGACTCGTTACGTTTAGGGAATGTTTTTACTTTTCGCGTTCTAATAATATTTCATTGGTATGTGACCCTACTATTGACTGTATTGAATAAGACTTATTAAAGCGTCTCGCCACATTAAGACTTATGACTTGCCAGTAAGATGTACCAATAACTCTCGTGGGTTTGCATTATTATTGTAGTTTGTGCGAGACATTATTTCCCCGCTTCCTGTTCCTTCTTGTATAGCATAACGTTCCTTAAGCTTTCTACAATTCCCGAGAAACGATAATATTTATTTTCTTGTTCGTTTTATATTATTATTATTATTATTATTATTATTATTATTATTATTATTATTATTATTTCTAAAATCGGCCATTTATATGGACGAAATAAAACATTGAGTATAATCTATAAACATTAGACGAAAGAAAGCCTTAAGAAATGTTGGCGAAACCTCAATAGCTTTTAAAACAATTGCTAAGATCCTGAGGACAGTGTGATGGCAGCTTAGTACACACTAAAGTAATTTTGAACATTGTATTTGAATCTACTCTCAAACATATAATTTACAGAGGTTTGTTTAAGTGCGTTAGTTTATCAGGTCAACTTGTGCATGTAGCCAGGAACTCTCGTGCAGTTATGAGGAAGTTTAATGCATGTGTCAGAAGGTGTCATATTCTCTCCGGGGTAACGTGTCTGTGTCAAGAGGTATCGTCCCTGTGTCAAGGGGTATCGTCCCTGGTGTCAAGAAATATTTTGCACTGTATCAAGAAGTATCATACGTGTCAAGAAAGATCGTCCCTGTATTAATAAGTTTCGTCCCTGTGTCAAGAAATATCGTCCCCTGTCAAAAAGTATCTCCTCGTGTCAAGAAGCATCGTCCATGTGTCAAGAAGCATCGTCCGTGTCAAAAAGTATCACCTCGTGTCAAGAAGCATCGTCCATGTGTCAAGAAGCATCGTCCATGTGTCAAGAAGCATCGTCCATGTGTCAAGAAGCATCGTCCATGTGTCAAGAAGCATCGTCCATGTGTCAAGAAGCATCGTCCATGTGTCAAGAAGCATCATCGTCCATCGTGTCAAGAAGCATCGTCCATGTGTCAAGAAGCATCGTCCATGT